TGTAAAAAAGATACTATTAAAGAAGGAGACATTTTAACAGGATATATTATAAAAAGTAGTGAAGAAGAAGGAGTTGATGTAATGGTATCAAGAGATGTAACTATTCATGTAGCACCAGGAGAATTATTAGATAATACAAGTTATAATGGGAAAGATTTTTCAAGAATCTTTTGTATTCAACGATTAGTAAAAGTAAGTATCATTGATAAAGAAGGATTAGAAGGAACATTAAAACAAAGTGTTATTTATCCAGGAATAATTAAATACTTTAAAGATATCAAAGAAAATATAGTAACTAAATGTGTTATAGTAAATATTACAAGTGAAGGATTGTTTTTAAGATTCTTTAATTCTAATATTCGAGGATTATGTCATTGTAGTAAAATAGAAGATAAAAAATTAACAAAGAAAGAAATGGAAAAGAGATTTAAAATTAAAGATGTCATAATGGCAAAAGTAGTTCATATTGACAAGAAGAAACATCGAGTTAATTTTAGTATCAAACCAGAAGATGTAGGAGAAGTAGAAATGAAAGATGAAGAAGAAACAATAGCTATTGATCCATGGAAATTAGCATTAAAAAGAAAAGAACAAAAAAGAAGAAATGAAGAAAAAGATATTGCAATTAAAGAAGAAATGAAAGATGAAGAATTTAAAGAAGGAGTAGAAGATGAGGCTAACATAGAATGGGATGATCCTACTAAAGAAGAAGAAAAACATGAAAATACTACTATGGAAGAGGAAGAAGAAATAGAAGAAGGTAAAGATAATAATAAAGAAGAAGGAAGTAAGAAGATAAGGAAGTATGGAAGAAGATAAAGAAGAAGAAAATATGGAAGAAGAAGATAAAGAAGAAGGAAGTATGGAAGAAGAAGAGGAAAGTGAAGAAATTGTATTAGATTTAGATGAATGTCAAAAAGGAGTTGAAAAAGACCCAGATAATTCAATAGAATGGATTAAATTAATGCAATGTTTCATTCAAAGAAAAGAAATAGATGAAGCAAGAAAAGTAGGAAAGACAGGAATAGAAAGTATCAATTTTAGAAAATTAGAAGAGAAATTAAATATTTGGAAAGCATTAATGCAATTAGAAGCTAATCATGGAGATGAAAAGAGTTTAAAGAAAGTATATAATGAGGCATTAGAGGTATGTGATAGGAAGAAAATCATGCTTCATATGATTCACATTTACAAAGAAAAGAAAGAGGTAGAAGAAGAAGAGAAAATCTTCAGAACATTATTTAAGAAAGTTAAAGGCAGTTGTAAAGTATATAAGAAATACTGTAATTTCCTAATGAGAAACAACAGAGAAGAAGAAATCAAAAACACATTAAGCAAAGCAAAAACAACATTAGATAAAAAGAAAATGATAAGTTTAGAAATTCATATTGCCCGATTAGAATATAAATATGGATCAGTTGATAAAGGAAGGTCAATGTTTGAAGATATTTTAACAAACAATCCAAAACGACATGATGTTTGGAATATTTATATTGATATGGAGAAAGAAGTAGGAGATGTAGGAGTAATAAGAAGAATATTTGAACGAATAGTTAAACAAAAACTAAGTACAAAGACAATGAAAACATTCTTAACTAAATACTTAGAATTTGAAAGAAAATATGGAGATGAAAGTAGACAAGAACATGTTAGAGACATTGCTAAATCATTTGTTTCAACAAAATGAATTGATTGATTTTTTAATAAAAAGAGAATAATATTTTAGAATTTTATTTATTGGTTGAAAAAGTATAATTTCAATTAGATTAATAAGAATGATATTATTGTATTTTTAATATTTATATTTTATTTTCTATTTATTTCATCATAATTAATTATTATATTTATAATGTATTTAAATGAAATTAAAATCATCTGATATATTTATAATGATTTTACATGAAATAAAACAACAAAATTATTTATAAAAGTATATTGAATAATATTGAAATGAATACCTTTGAAATAAATAATTAATTGAATTTATTCAAATATATATATATTATATTTTATATAGAAAATGATATAAATAATGTAGACATTGTAGACATTTGTTATTTTGATTAAATAAGAATATGAAAAGAAGAAATTAAGTCAAATTAATGAATAAAAGAAAGAATAAAAAGAAATACATATATTGTAATTGTACTAAATAATATAAACAATTCATTTTCGATAGAAATAAAGAAATACTAAATTATAAAATAAAATATTTAAAATAAAAGAATAAATAAAATGTATTTATAAATGAATAATAACCAAATGAATAAATTAGAAAATAAAGAAGAAATGAATAAATTTAATAAATAAATAGAATAAATGAAAATAATAATATTCAATTTATTTATATTCATAATCAGATGAAAATTATAACAATACCATATCATAAAAAGAAATATAATAGTTAATAGAAATATTGAATATGAATAAAATAATGAACAAGAAGACATTAAAATAATAAATATAATTTAAATATGAATAAAATATAAAATAAATAATTATAGAATAATAAAAATAAATGAAGGAGAAGTTATTCATTATTAATAGTATTAAATTGTTATTAAAATAAAAACAGAAAAATTGTACAATGAGGAAGAAGGATGTAAAAAAATTGAAAAAGAGAAAATTAGAAAAAAGGAAAATAATAAAAGTTGTTGTTGTTTTATTGGGTGCTGGTGGTGTTATTGTGTAAGAATATTTTTTATAGTACAAGTTATTAATTCAGTTGGTTATTTTCTTATTGGTTGTTGTTTTATAAAAAGTCTTGTTAACAAAACCAATACCTTAAATAATCGTTAAAAGAGAGTGAATTAAGTTTTAGTCTCACTTAATAACACATATATAACACCAGATAATTGAAATTTAATTGAATAATATAAAATAATTTTTATTATTTTGAAGATATAAAAATGATGAATTTATTGTTTATTTTATGAATGTTTAATTTAATTTATTAAAAGTATATTTAGATGATAACATCTTCTCATTATTCATTTATTTTATATATTTTTAATGTTTTTTTTTATTATAATGTTTTTAATAATTATTTCATTATTACTTTAATTCTTTATTTATTTGTATATTGACTGTTATTGTTATTTATTCTATTTTTCATTAATTAATAAAGTATTGAATAGATATTTATTGTACTTATGATTATATTTTATTTTCTTATTTCTTATTATTGTATCAATTATACTCATTGTTTTTATTTAATATTAAATTTCAACATTGTTTAACATTATTCTTCTTGTCCAAAATAATCATTTATTTTCTGTTTATTATTTTACTATTTTTCATTCTTTCATTTGATTTTTATTAGATATAATCTTATATGAAACATTCTCGTTTAATAAATTTTTGTATTAATACTGTTAATCATAAAAACACATGTTACTTTTTAGTTATCGCTTTAATTTCGCTTTTTTCATTTTAAATTGATTGATGAAATGTTAAAATAATCAGAATATAAATCAAATGCATAATAATCAAAACAAAATGAATAATAAGCTACAATTAACAATAAATGATTTGGTAGATTAATCAAATCAATACAAATAATGACCAACAAGAATAATGAAATTAATTAACAGTTATGTTATTTACTTTTATAAATGTTTTAACATAAATATTGAAAATAGAATTAAAAGTTATGTAATTAATTAATAACTATATTCTATTGTGATATTAAATTAATAGGAGAGATGTATTAACATAATTTTTTATTATTCTTTTAGGTTCTAAATTGAATATTTATTTATAAAACATTTCTTACAATTTTAACAATAACAATAAATAAATAAAAAGGGGGTAAATGTAAATATGTAATTTTATTTTATAATTATTTTTTATTTTTCTTTCGATAAAATAATAAATCAAATACCAGTAAAATGATTAAAATTAGTTTATATTTGAAATTATCGAATGAATGATGTTTGTATTAATTAAAATATTCATATAATCTAAATATAAAACAAAATATAATAATCAAATTTATGTTATGAGAAGAAATGAAAATTGATATATTTTAATATACAACACCTATTAGAATGTAGAAATGATAGTTCATTATTTAAAAATAAATTCAGAAAGATATGTTCATTAAATATGAATATCATACATAAACTATGTTGTTAACTTCAATTTGATATTAAAATCACTGACGATAAGAAAATAGAATTAAAATGAAAGAAAATACGAAATGAAGATGATAATATATTTATTAAAATATTGAATAATAAATGAAAATAAATATATTTATTATTTATAAAAATAAGACATTACCATTACATGGTATAAAAAGTGAAAGTAAAATAACGAATATAACTGAAATGAAACAAGAGATAATGTTCATTTAAATAATAATATTAAAAGAGTTAACAATTTAATGGTTAATTTAATATTAATTCATTTCATAAAATGAATACGTTTAAACACTTTTATCTTTTAATAATATTGTTTTATTTTTTGAAATGAATGTAATTTTATTAACACTTTTTTCATCCATTATCTTAAATATTAATTGTATTTAATTAAATAATTAAAAAAAACAATTTATTAAAAATGTATGTTTTTATATATTTCAACACAAAATAATTTCAATTATTTACATTAATTTATTCATAATGAAACAAATGAGGAATAAATATTTATTTTGATTCTATATTTATTTGAATTTATTTCTAATTAAAGGAAAAATGAGAAAGGGAATAATTTTATTGTTGTTCAATAAAAAGAATAAAGTGTGATAAGAATAATAAATGTAACTAAATATATTCTATTTTTAGTATTTAAATTAAAATGACGATAAATAATGATGTTTATAATTTTAAGAAATACAATAAAAATGTATAGTCACAATGTAAAATTATTATTTTAATAATAATTATCTTTTATCAATTTTGAAAATAAAATTACAATCGCTAACAATTTACCCTGTTTATAACCAATTTTTAATGATTAAAAACATTGTATTATTAAAAATGAAGAAGTTATTATCATTAATTAGAAATAGGGGGTAAAAGTGTAATGTTATTGATGGATATTTAAGGTTGAACTTTAAAAGAGTTTATTCATTAAATGATTACTCTAATACTTGTATTAATTACACTCTCATTTGGAAGGAAATGTTATTATTACATACCCTATCAATCTGAACCACTTGTAGATACTATTGATAGTGCATTTGAATGTATTGAAGAACCAACAATTTCAAAAGATAATAAAAATTTAGTGATTAATCGTTTGAAAAGGTATTTAGAATCATATGTATACAAAGATATATTGAAAAATCCACCAAATCAAATTGGGACATATCATTATGACAAAGTGGATATTGATAAAGAAATAAACAAAATAAATCTGGATGAAGGAAGTGTATATGAATTTTATTCACAAATTCAAAAACTGTTTATTTCAGCAAAAGATCCTTTGTTGTCATTTGCAATATTACAAAAAAATGAGATTTCGATAAGAAATTACATTGCTTATTTTTATTATTTCCTTCCTTTTAATATTATGATAGATAAAGAAAAACATATGTATCTTATTCCTAAATATTATTACAAAAATGCAAAAATTGATGTTCCATCAGAAATAGAAAATAATAAAAATAATTATGTTAAATCAATAAATGGAGATGATCCATTTGAACTAATTAGATCATTTGGAATTGCTTTTAGTTCATTTAAATCTCCTCATGCACAATTTACAAATTCTAAATCTTCTAATCTTGATAATTCATTTACTCAAGGAAAATTACTTTTATTACCATTATCAAAAGAATATTTACGTATACCACTAACAATTCAATGGGAAAATGGTGAAAGTGTTGTTGTTCGTTATTCAATATTAAAGTTACCAACTCCAACTCTTCATGATATGGTACAAGATAAAAATCTTCTGAAAACAAAAGAAATTGATTCAGATATAGATGATCTAAAAAATGAATATGGTAATTTAAATAATGACATATATTGTAAAGTATCTGGTAACAATATTAACACTCTTGTTATTAAGAGATTTAATGTATTCAATAACATGCAGGTACTTCAAAACTGTGTAGAGTTATTTGATTCAAATGATTACCCAATTCAAGTTATTCTTCCAGAGAATGATGGCGGAAATCAAATTTTGGGAATATGGATTCAAAAATTATTAGCCCCCAACTATGATGCTGACTTAATTTCATCAGCAAGAAAATCTGATAACACAGAAGAAATAATAACCAAAGAAGGTGGCATAGATTACGTTGATCCAAAGACATGTATGGAAAGAATGCTAGGCGACATTAAAACTAAAGAAATGGCAAGTTGTCTACGTACAGCAGGTGAATACTTCCCATATCTAATAAGAAAGTCATGGCCATATTTACCATTGATATTTAAGGAGTCGTATTGCACTAGAAAATTGGAAGAATGGTATAGAAAACCAACTACCATTAAATATGGTAATGTTAAACATGTCATTACTCAACCATCAAGACTTATTACAGAACCACCATTGGAAGGCATGAAATTAATGAAACATCCAAGAAACCCAACAGAAATAGTAGTTTATACTGATTCATATTGTTATTCGGCATGTTCAATGATAACAAAAGGATTAAAAGAATGGGGAGGAGCTATTCTTGTAGGATTTAGTGGTGATCCTGATGGTAAAGATGAAGAATTTGAAGTCGGACAATCA